CCCTTCCTTGAAAACTTCCAAGGAAGGACTCTAACACTCAGGCTGGACCCATGCCCGCCCCCAGACTGGTCAGCTGTGGCGGAAAGGTCCAGCCCTCTGTCAGCCTGGCAGACAGCACTCTCAGGGATCACACATGGGAGGCAGGGGTGTAGCGAGAGGTGCTGTCCCCACAGTAAGGATGGGGTGCTGGCAGATGGCGATGCGCCAGAGTGGCCACAAGTTCCTTTTATCTGCTTTTCTAGCCTGTCTTCCTCCTTTCTCTCCTCCACCAGCTGTTTTCACTTCCTGAAACTCACAACACACTCTTCTTCCTCAGAGCCTCTTCCCAGGCTGTCCTTCCGCCAGAAACTCTTCCCTGGCTCATCCATCTGTCCACTTGCCCTGGCCCTAGAAGATTCCGCTGAAACAGCTCCCACCCCAGGATAACTAGGCACTTCCCCATTGGTGCACAGTGTTTCTGTCCTGGGTCCTTCACTAAAGCAGGGTTGTCATGGGCTGAGTACTCTCCTGCCCACCGCCAGAGGGGGCAGGCACGAGGTGGGGTCCCGGGAGCTGTGCTCTGTGACAGAGCACCATCCGCTGCCTCAGAGCTGAGCGTCCCGTCCACATCGTAGGGAAGCGACTTCCCTGAGGACTGATTGGTGGCAGAGCTGTAACTGAGCCTTCCTGCCATGTAATGTAGGGGCAAGGCAGCCAGAAGGTCAGCCTGGGTTGGAAAGTCTTAACACCTTCCAGCCTCATCCATCGCTAAACTCGTGGGAGGCACCGGGACCCTCCCGCCAGAAACCTGGAAAAATTGTGAGAGCTTTTTCTTTCAATTCCCCCTACTGCCACAGACAGGTGTGAGACACAGCTTACAGCACGCCCCCACTCCCTGCCTCCGTTTCCCCTTCTGTTAAGTGACCAGGGAGGTGTAACCAGAATGGGTCTTTCCAAAAAAGCAGAGAACCCGCTGTAGTTTTCCTGGAGTGTCTGCTACCCCACAAGGGAGGTGGAGGGGCTCCGACGCCTCCTCACATGGGGGTGCTACTGTTGGTTTTAGTCAGGACTCATGAGGGGGGCGGGAACAGAGACCAGGAAAGGGGGCTGATTATTGCTCCTCGGTAACACTCGGCGTGTTATAATTTTGTGTTTGTGAACGATTGTCGATTGGCTGAATCCCTCACTAGCCTGTCAGTTCCAAGAGGGCTGGAAATGGGTCTTTTCCCACCCACCATTCTCCCCACCGTGTGCCTGTACTCCTGCAAACAACGAGCTTTGCCTGGAGTGGCGAACTCACCTGGGACTCTCCAACCGAGGCAGCGTGGGGCCCTCGTCCTCCTGCTCCAAGTTCCCGTCTCTGCCACCAACTTGCTCAGCTCTGTGTTCTCTGGCCCTCCCTAGTTCCCCTGTGCTCATGGCTTGCTTTAGCCACAGCCCCTACTCATTCTTGTAACATCCTTCCCCTCAGCCCTACTGCCAGCTGGGGAGAATATTTCCGTGTTTCTTAGTACAAATTCATAGCGCCGGCTGTGGTTCCTATCTGTCACCCACACAGCTTCACAGAGTGCCGGCCCTGGCCAGCCTCTGGGGACACAAAGGTGAGTGGACCCAGCCCCAGCCCTCATGAGCTCATAGATGGGGCAGGGAGGCAGACCGCAACCAGATAAGTCACAAAAACCCAAAAACCAAACCCACTGCTGTCAAGCTGATTCCACGCATAGCGACCCCATAGGACAGAGAAGAACTGCTCCATATGGTTCCCAAGGCTGTTATCTCTGTGGAAGCAGACAGCCATATCTCTGTCCTGTGGAGCGGCAGGTGGGTTTGAACCGCAGACCTTTTGGTTAGCAGCCGAGCGCTTAAACACTGCGCCATCAGGGCTCCTTCAGATAATCACACTCGTGAATGAATAATTAGAAACTGAGATCCCGAGCTCTGGGCAGCAGGAGCACAGTGCTCTCGGGACTTCTAGCGGGGAACCTGACCTCTGGCAGGAGGGGACTTTTATCTGCAATCCCACAGGGGCAAGGAGGAGTAACGTGGTTAAAGGGCCTCAGGAGGTGGGTATGACCGTCCACCCCGAGAGCTTGGCGAGGGCAGCAGCTCAGGGGCAGGAGGGAGCCCGGTCTGTGGAGGAACTGAGCTATGAGCCCCGGGCCCTCCACCACCTGGCCCCTCACCACTGCTCTGCTCCCCTGCCACACTGGCCTCCTTTCTGTCCTGTGAACACATGGGACATGCTCTCACCTCGGGCCTTCTCCAGGAATGTCAGCCCCAGATGTCAGCAAGACAGCTGCCCTCACCTCCTGGTCTTGACTCGGTCAGGCCACCCGCCCTGCCCCCCAGCAGCCTCTTTCTCCTTCCCTGATTTATTGTCTCCTTGGCAATTATCACCGTCTAGCCTACTATATATCCTACAGGTTTGTCTTGCCTTCGTTCTGTTTCTTACTCCAGGAATTTTGGGATCTTTTGTTCACTGTTACAGCCACAGTGCTTCTTGAAATATAGTAGGTGCTTTAATAATATTTGTGGAATGAACGAAATATTTGTTGTTGAATGAGTGAATGAATGAGCACAGAGTGTGAGTGGACAATGGGCCAAAGCGAGGGTGGAGCAGCCAGCTGGCCTTGAAGGTGTGTTGGGGTTATGGTCTCTGTCCTGAGAAAAGAGGGAGCAATTGTGCAGCTTTAAGCACACGGCAGCAGACTGGCGGGGGCAGGGTGGGCAGGAAGTGGACAAGTGGTAAGACGACCAAGAAGTCCTGGCGAGGGGCGACGGTGGCTTGACAAGGGCTGGGCAGCCATGTCGGTGGTGGGGATGGCAAAGCAGATGTATCGATAGACTTGGGAAGTAGAATCAGTAGAGCTTGGGAATGGCTTTGGACGTGGCAGGTGAAGGAAAGAGGAGTCCGAAGGATCAGAGGTTTCTGGCTTGGGTAGCTGGATGAGAAAAGTGGATCCTGGAGCAGACGGAGCTTGTGAGGCTTGTGAAGAAATATCAGGAGTCCAGTTTGGGCCACTGAGAGCTTGAGGTGTCTCGAGGCATTCAAGAGGGGCTGACAAGCAGGAGCTCAGAGCAGAGTGCTGGGCTAGAGAGTAAAAGGGTATGAGTCCCAGAACACGGGAGCTGAAGATG